AGCAAGTGCGCGCACACACACACACAGACGCCCCCGCAGTGTGTGCGTGAAGACACGAGCGGCCCATACGCGCCGCAACGTCTATGCTCGCATAGAGGCCGCCCACACACACATAGTAATGCCGCTCACACGGACACAGCAATGTCGGCACATCATAGCGCAAGGCACGCGCGAGCGGTGGCATACGCACGCGAGTGCCAAGGCCGAAAGAGCGGCGAAATCACACGCACGATTGCGAACTAAACTAGCACCTGCGGATATACACGGGCGGATATAGAGCCGTGAATTCGCAAGAACAATTCGACGACAGCAAGGGCCCACACGTGCAGCAATAAAAATCGCGCAGCGCAACACATGTGGCCGAAGCCGGCGTGAAGATGGTGACAGGCCGGATCAGCAAACAAGACCGGAGGCAGGGGCCGTTAAAAGATATAGTTTATGATCGCAGGACGGCCCAAGCGAGCTTTGCATCTCGTTGATTCATCAATGAGAGGCCCGAGTCGGCTAAATATTAGGAGGCAACGCGACTTATAAACTTTACATTTTTTGCGACAGAATATAGATCACCAAGCAGGACCGGACGAGGAAAAAACGGTAACAGGAACTAAACATCCCCTCGACAAACATGTGCAAGTCGTTCACAGGACCAGACCGTACACGGAGTCCGATATAAATACCGGGCCACAGCACGGCCTCAGGAAACACCGTGACCGAACGCGAACCAGGGCGAAGCTACGCTCAATCGCGCTACACCTTGCTTTAATCGGGACTTAGTCGATTTTTACGCTATTCACTATTAAGCACTTAGACGAATTCGCGAGCCATTCCAATCCAGTAAATACAAAGCTACGAGCACCGACTCAGTTACTCGAACAGTGCGCGCGCTTGTTCTGCTACATCCACCGACGCCGTGCCGACCTCGTCGACGCCGATCGCTCTCATCGACGCCGATCGCCCTCACCGACGCCGCACCAGCCGAGGTCAGACCGCCATGGGCCCGGCCTACAACAGCCAGCACCCCCAGCACACCGACGCCTCCAGTCGCCGCACCGAACGTCGCCGCCGAAGATAACAACACCGGTACATAGTAAGAAACATTCATGTAACTAGAATTAAGGTTGAATAAACAGTCTTGTGTGTGAATCCAAGTCCCTGTGTTATTCATTTCTCCACCACGCCCCACCCAAGAGACATAGAGTCGAGTCATTCAGTCAGCAGACATATTTATTAATAATAAATAAATGGTCAAACCAACCATCACAGGATTTCTAAAAAAATCCATAAAAATTAAAATCATAAAGTCTCGTGGAGGCACGGGTTAAAATCATTTGTCAGTCCCCAAATTTTGCACAGCTCATTTTTTTAGGGTAACAATCACTTTTCCGTCCGGGGTCGTCCGAAAGAAAAAAATTGGACATATTATTGCCAAAACTTCTGGCTATCACTGTGTTTTTAAAGTAATCTCTATAATAATTTTTGAAATCTTCACTAGAATCCACTTTTAAATCTAATAAATACTTATTTTTTTAATGAATTTTCACATTACTTTTAAACTTTATGTTTTTCACTGGAGACCCAGCGTACTTCCTTTTTGGTTTGTGGAAAGTTTGAAGGTTCTCAGTACACGTAGTAGCAAGAATAGCACTTTTTTTTCAAGTTCCAATCAACTAAAGCAATCACTGCTACTACAATATGTTTACAATGGGCAAACTTCGACTGTCCCACAGGGCAATCACATGAACTACCTACAATTTCACCATCGCTACATAATTTTATGTCACACACATAACTCATATGCTTTTTGAGTTCAGCTTTTGGCTTCCTTTTATATAGTATTCATTTCCTGTAAAAAAAGATGCATTAATAATTATTACATAATAGTTGTGATATAAGTATTAATAAGTAATTAAGTAACAAAACAAGTCTTTTACCTATCTGACACAATCTTAAAAATTTTAAAAACCCATCTAAATATAAATTTTTTCCTTTCTGTATAGAAATTTCATAATCATTTAAAAATACATTCAAGTGATTATCTGAAAATGAAGGTAGGCAGCTTGAAGAATTTATGTCCTTGTACAATTTTGCATCTGGAGTATTAATCTTATCATCTTTGACTATTATCTCATATCCAAAGTTATCATTTTGTATGTAGAAAATCAATCTGTAAAACATCATTCGCGTATTATATCATGTTATATTTTTATAAATGTTATATTAATAATATTTGTTATTTTGCTTATTGAGTGTCCATTCGGCAGCCGTAGCGTACGCGAAAATCGTATTTGTGTACAAAACAATAATATTATGGATCGGTACTACGGCCGCCGAATAGACCTCTTGTTTATTGACATATATCATAACCTGACCTAGTGCATCCATTGTACATACCTGTCTACGAGTTCGGATTTTCTCCCGGTCACTCTTGCACCTCGTTGTCTAAGCAATTTTTTAAGTTCCACTATTCTTAACTGTCCATAATCGGTCGACTTCGATGGATTTATATCGCCGGACATTTTGAACTTTGTACGACTACTCTCACATTATACACCAGTATACGAAAGACGTACTGCGCGCATGACATCAAACACGCTACGTCTGCCATCTCGCGGTCAATTCATGCGGGGTAAAATGCCTAATTGATGTTCGTCAGAGAGTGCCGAAGATGAATCTGCTCCTCGCCAGCTTCCTTCTGGAGCATTCTTCTGCGGGCAGTCCTTGGCGAAGTGTTTTCCCGAGCAGTTCCAACACTTTGGCAGAGGCTTCTCATTTTTTTCAGCCCTCTTGCCAGCCGCATTTATCTTCTTGGTACTCTCTTCCTCCTCGAAAGAAGCGGATTTGAAAGCGCATGAGCTGGCTACCGCTTCCGGTACCACACCTTCACGTAAGAAAAAAGGTGAACTCTCCACTAAGTATCAAACATCCACAGACCTCGTCTCGCTCTGCGTCGATGGCCTGGGCGAAAAGTGCCGCGTCGTCCTCGACGTGTTGCAGCTTCACGAATCTTCGAATGCTCGGACGTAGCAAACTGGTTATCGTGCCAATCTTCTCGGCCTCCGGATCGTTTGGTCGCAGTCGCTGAAACAGTCGGTACTTGTTCTCCAGGAACGAGCCGACGCTCTCTGTTGCTCCTTGCTTGTCGCCGTACAGCTTCGTGAGAAGTGCTGTGCGGATACTCGGAGAATCCCAGCGGCTGCGTATGAGGCTTTTATACTTCTCGTAGTCTACCTCCATGACCGCGTAGCACATCCACCATTCCTTTGCTTCGCCAAGCAATCCTTCTTGCAGAGTCGGTACTTTCTCGGCTTCGGCCAAGTCGTACGTTCGTACGTAGACATCGCATTTTTCGACGTACTTCTTCGGATCCTCGAAGTCCAGTCCGTGGAACTGCGGCACTGCTGGTCTCGTGTTCAACAGCGCTCGAGCGAACACTTCCCAATTTCCTAGCGGGTTGTTAATGATTCGCTCTTGCTGTAACGCAGACTCAAGTGTTAGCTCCTCGAGATTTCCCGCTTGCTGCTGTTGTTGATCCTTGATCTGCTGCTGCTCGTTGTTAAGTCCGGTCTCCTCGATGGACTGCTGGTGTTCTGTGGGCACCACTGGGTTTAACACTCCCAGAAGTGGTGAATCCTCTTTGCAACTTGCCGCAGCTCGACAGTGCTTGCGCGATGGCTTTCTCGGTATTGACTCCTTTCTCTGTGGGTTGGTTCGTGCGTCTGCACGACGTAGTCCTTTTCCTTGAGTCGACTACTGCCACACGTTGGGCCCGCCACTTGCTGAAAATCCGTCTTGATCGTTGACCTCGTTGTTGTTCTCGTCGGGTTTCCTGGATGCGGCCGTCGCAGCGTAGCGCTTGGGCGTTGCGCGAGTCGCTGGTGGCGACATTGCAGGCCGCTTGCTGGTTACACCGACCGCAAATATCGGCGACGTGCAGAACGCCTTATCCACGGCAGAAGGTCGAGCCGGCTCCAGACTCTTCTTCATCTTATTGAGGGCCGAAACGGCCTGGACCAGGCTCAGGGTGTACCTGGTCACCTCCTTGTGTAGGTTGCCCTTGCTCCCGACGAAGTCTGCAAGGCCACTCACAAGTCCTTCCATTCTTTTCCACTTCTCTTCGTAACTCCCGGTTGCAAAATCTGTGGGGGTCGGGAGCGGGGAATCCTTGGCTGGTAGCATAGAAACGCCAATGATTAAGCTCGTGGTGGCCGCCGCTATCATCTCGGGGGTGGACCCGATCCTCGTCGGTATCGTCGACAGCAAACTACTCCTCGTTCGGCTCTTCCGAATGTATCGTGTTGTAAACTGGTTTTTTTTTTGGAAAAAAATTTTTTTTCAATTTTTTTTCATGTATAAATGAAGGAATTTTTATACTTTTTTACGGTACAATGGAAGCAGAACAGCCAAGCTTTAATTTAAGACCAAAAAATAGAGATTTACCGAATATTATGAAAGTTAACGACTGAAAATGAAAAGTTGATTTTTTGCTTCCTCATAGAGGAAGTTATGTGATAGGCTTGAAAATAAGATTTGGAACCAGACGTCCTAGGACAATTTGGTTTACATATTTGAAACTACATTGAATTACCAACAAATGTCTGCATGTGTGTTTGTTTTTTCGGCTTTTTGGCTAAGATTTTTACATACAATTAATATTTAAATATTCCAAGTGGGTTGTACTTCTTCCAGAGGCCTATGAGATCAAACTAAACCTACTGGGCATGTTGTCTAGGTGTACAAAGTACCCTCAGTAAGTTTCGGCCAGATCCATGATCCGGAGCTGGGCTTGCAAAGTAGAACTTATGCAATGCATGAGCGTGTTAAAAGAGTGGACGTAGGACACACAGTGTTATGATAATTTTACTGTATTTTTAAATAGAATTTTCTATCTCTTTACTGTATCATTATTTGAAAATTTTGATTTTTTATTGAAATACAGCCATAGATTGATGAGATACACAGAAAATTTTTTCTCAATTTATATTTTATACTGATTTACTTACTTGAAGAAAAATAAATCTCAGATGATGTAAAAAATGTGGTTTTTTTCAGGCATTCTAACATAAAAATTGTCACAAGAGCTCTTTCCTGTAAGTCATCAGTCGTTCTTTGATTCTTATTCGTTTCAAGATTGTGTAACTTCAAGATATCTTGACATTCATCGTCAAATCCACCTTAAACATTATAATGAGAATTGTATTATTACACTTTGAGGAGTGAGGAGTGGGAGATACATTAAACCTTCAATTAAAAAAAATTGATTAAAAAGTATGGTAGTATAGTAAGTGAAAGGAAAACATTTTTTGGAACGTAAAATATGTATATTTAAAGTACAAATATCTTATACACATATCGTTTTTAAGCACCATATCTTGTGATGATGTTTCGGAGATCGGTAAATAATGAAAGAATGACAATTAATTGCGATTGATAAATATGGTGCACTGAGATTAATTGTTTGAACAAATGAAAATGAATAATTCGAACAAATTTGTTGTAAGATTGACTTTATTGCAAGAGCCTACACACGCCGTGGTGCTAATACAAACAAGTAGAGAATGAAGTAATAAAAGAGAACAAAATGAAAAGTATAACAATGGCGGCGACTTCGGCTTTTCAGCTCCTCTCGCTTCAGTCCTCAACGTTGTAGTGATGATCATCGACGCGCTCGTAATCGCTCAAATCTCTGCGCAGCTAGAGTGCCCCCACCGAAGTTGTTGTATTCGCGCAGTCAGTTGTGACGGAGCGTGTCAGTCATGGCTCGTCTTGAGGTTCTATCACACATGACTTCAACATTAATAATTAAAGTTATCATTACAAGGCAATAACTCGGAGCGCCACTGCATAAAAAGCATACAAACTCTTAGTGATATTATCCGTGGGACGCGAGTCCACCGTTTTGGGGCCCAGTAACGGAATATTGTTGCATCATTGTGGCATCTTTTTGGGTATTTTATCCGCAAGCCCCGATAAAGTCTAGGTCGCTTTTACTGTTATTTTATATTTTGAATATCGCTTTGGCCTTCCGTATCATATCCACGAGTGACTTATGAGTATTTTATTTATGTTTCATATACTCTGTCATCTCTTCAAATTTCTCGTCGAGAGTTGTCAGACGATTAGCGTTGTTGTCGTTAAGCTCCGATTGCAGTGACTCCTGGTCTGTGCATGTTTGATACTTAGTGGAGAGTTCACCTTTTTTCTTACGTGAAGGTGTGGTACCGGAAGCGGTAGCCAGCTCATGCGCTTTCAAATCCGCTTCTTTCAGCTTTTTAACTGAGTTCTCACTTCGTTCTGAGTAAAGGTATATGCTTGTTCTTTTTTTTCGTCTAAGTATATGCTCGATTAATCTGAATCTATACTAATACGGATAATACTAGCCCACCTCCGCTCTCTCGAGTTTCCCACCCCGAATGAAAGTGCTTAGCTCTCTGCAGAGTTTCCGGTAGGCATCATGCAATGCGACGAACTTGCCAAGCCGATTGACCAAAGCTGGTTAAGGACAGGCCGCACGTCTTGCCGACAGCGGAAGCCAACGATGATTTGGGTCACGTCACCAAGCAGCATCGTATCGCTTTTCTATGCAGGATCTCTTTTTGTTAGTTGGGTCGCAAATGGTATGGAGTCATTTTTTATAATTTTTTTTATTATAAAGTCGTTTTTTTGATGTGCAACATATATATTCGCGTTTGGTATGAGGGGTAAACCGTGAAAACCGAGCGTCTATCCGTCCGTCCGTCCGTCCGAGCGAGCGCAACTTTGGTAGTATGTCTATGGGTCATATCAGAAATGAGTTGATAGGTCCAAAAATGACCTATCAACTAAATGCATTTCTTAAAAGTACATGAAAAAACAAAACTTTTCATGTGTTTAAAAAGTGCCATGGTTCCGTCCTTCAAAATCTACAGCTGCTTAAAGTTAGAATCTGAAAACTAACTTTTTTCTCCATAAGCCCAATGTAGCTCTGAAAAATAAATCAAACATGGTATTTTTATGTATTTTTTGATAAGGAATTCATTGGTGATATGGCAAAAGTGATTCAGATACTCTTACACCATTAAAAATCAAAAAAATGCATTTTAGGCCCAAAATAGATGTGTTCGTCCTCTTGGATTTGCCTGAAATTAATAGAGTATCATTACAACATCAAAATAAAGTCATCTACCAAGTGGCACTATCGGTTGGCCAATATCGAGGAAGATATATACTATGAAATGTGGTTATCTTTCACTTTTACATCATGATAGTCTGAATGTCGACTATTGATACTGCCTAGAGCAATGAACTACAATAAACACTAATTTATCTTTTTAAAGTTCAATCACAAGTACTTTCTGCACAGAGTTCACACCTTATTCTTATGTAATCAATTAATAACTTCATTTATGCTAGATAAGTAATACTAGTATGCACTGTTTGGATTGAATATTACTTTAGCGTTTGTTTCATTCACAGTGGTATTAAATATGAACTCTGTGCAGAAAGTACTTGTGATTGAACTTTAAAAAGATAAATTAGTGTTTCTAGCTTGCTTTTAATGCAGTTCATTGCTCTAGGCAGTATTGATAGTCGACATTCAGACTATCATGATGTAAAAGTGAAAGATAACCACATTTCATAGTATATATCTTCCTCGATATTGGCCAACCGATAATGCCACTTGGTAGAGGACTTTATTTTGATGTTGTAATGATACTCTATTAATTTCAGGCAAATCCAAGAGGACGAACACATCTATTTTGGGCCTAAAATGCATTTTTTTGATTTTTAATGGTGTAAGAGTATCTGAATCACTTTTGCCATATCACCAATGAATTCCTTATCAAAAAATACATAAAAATACCATGTTTGATTTATTTTTCAGAGCTACATTGGGCTTATGGAGAAAAAAGTTAGTTTTCAGATTCTAACTTTGAGCAGCTGTAGATTTTGAAGGACGGAACCATGGCACTTTTTAAACACATGAAAAGTTTTGTTTTTTCATGTACTTTTAAGAAATGCATTTAGTTGATAGGTCATTTTTGGACCTATCAACTCATTTCTGATATGACCCCTATACAACGTCGGTTTGCTGTCTATGCATATACGTCGCGAGACTACGCACTATCATGCACGTTGTCAATTTTGATATTTATTACTGCATGTATTTTTTTTCTTCTCCACCCCATTCGGACACTCACCGGTATCCGCCGCTAGGCATTGCTCCGTTGAGGCCGGGGTTAGTTGAGCATTTCTGCTACTTCTATGTTAGTCGTTGTTTTCCGTACATCCCCCATAGATCGCATAGTGGTATGCGATGATTAGCGGTTCAGGGACTCATCTTTTTCAACTTGGTGAACCTCCTATCCTGCGCGATGCCATCTTTCGATTGTCGTATCCCCTTTTTCAGAGCCGTCTATTGCGTGGTCACACATGGCTGGCATCTCCTCGCTTCTGCCGCCGATGGCAAGTGCCCGATTTGCTCTGTTGGCTACATCTTGTGAGTGTGGTTCTCGCTTCAGGCGTCATCATGCACTCCAGCGGAGCCTTGGCTCCCGCATCCAGCGCTTCTGACTTCATCATGGGAGTGTTATGTTCCATCTATTGCCAGCCTTGTGAGTCCTCGCCTCGGGCTCCTACTTATGGTTATCCTATCGCTTCCAGCTCGCGCAGTGATCGAGTTTTTTTTACCGCTTCGGAGGCTGATGACTCAGAAGGCTGTAACTTGGCATCTACTGGACCGATTTCCTTTCAAAACCCCTTAAAATTTTTGTTTTTTGATGTACTTTCGTTTGAACTGAGTTGCCACGTTGCTTTACTAATTCATCTCAGCAAAAAACGCGTATAAACAAATGGAAAGTACGTCGGAGCCATAAAATTATGTTTATACACGCCTACAGACTGCATTATAAACAATTTAACTAACATAAAAATTATGTTACATCATTCTGTAGGTTATTACCTTTAAAATGAGATGTCGACGAGCTCGATCGCACTAATACGAGCCAAGTTACAGAGGTTGAAAGATGAAAAAAGACGTATTTCTAGGAATTTTACACTAATTATTGCATAACTTTTTTCTAGTGGGTGGATTTTCAATTAATTTAATGGAATTTCTTTGTTTTTCAAAGACGAATGAAATAAAAACAAATTGTTTTAATCTATCTTCAATATTTTACAAGATATAGATGTTTAAACAATTAATTTGTTTATAAAAAAAAATTGACCAGGAATTCGGCCTGGTGACATTCAAATTCGATTTCAGCGACCCAAAAAACATAGAAATCTGTCAACTTGCCGAGGGGATCTCGCAAGTTCACTCAAATGTTACCAGCGCCCGGACTAAACCGCTCAATGCACTTAATTTATATTATAATTCATCAATAAATAATTTGATAAAAATGTACTTTGGAAACGGGATTTCCAATGAAAAATCTAAACAAAAAACAAATTAAAAATTGAAAAAATTAAAAAAATTTTTTTTTTAAATCAGCTGTTTATGAACAGCTGCAAGATGTGAAACATCTTCGTCAATTAATTAAAGAAAATTAACTAATTAAAAAAAACTAAACAAGATCCAAAAACATGAATCAATAATCGAAACAAAAAACCAAACTAGAAACTAAAAAACAAAAAACCCAACTAGAAACTAAAAAAACAAAAAACCAAACTAGAAACTATTTTAAAAAAGGTTATTTTTAAAAAAGATTAATTTCATAGAAGAATCATTCGAAATATTTAATTATTATAAATTATCGGACGCCTCCACAAACTTGCGAGAGATCTCTGATGAGGATCCCTTGAAGGTCGTCGCATTGTCCGAGAATATCTTCCTACTAACGCATCGTCGTGCAGTGAAACGAGAATACGCTGCCAAAAAAGCCTCCGTCGTCAAATCGGACACGACTTCAATATAAACAGCCTTATAAACCATACACACGAATTTGGCGATGTAACCTTTGTTTGTGATGGCCTTACAACGCTCTGAGAATAATACCGGAAAAAGTCCTGCATCGTCCAGACTCGCGAGTTAGAAAACTCGCTGTAGCGTGAGTCGTTTGACGTGAGTCATCTGCTGCTGTCCAGTCTTGCTCTTAAACCTCGTGCACTTTACGCAGCGGCGGCACACACCAGTCACAAGTCTTCGCATGTCCGTAATCCAAAAACTCAAGTTCGAGAGTAGTAGCTGTACTAC